CATCAATCTGATAGTGGAAAACCTTGTTTCAAGCAAGAAGGGGCAAATCCACTGTACTTTAAGCCCACTGTGGTTAGGAAGCGGATGGTATAATCAGCTGAAACGTTCACTCTCAGGAGTACTGTTAAAATCCAAGACCCCACTATCCTCTTGATCTTTTCCTATGCTGTTTGATGAAATTCTACCAGCGGCCTGGGTACATTTCCAACAAACTCATGACTTCTGGGAAGGCATTACAAAGCTACACTGTAGCCATTCATGACCTGTTCTCAGTGCTGGCTTGGTTCCTCCTCAAATCCACAGCATTCTGCTAAGAAAACATTCTTTCCACTTCAAGTAAGCTTCCCCATCCTGAAACCAGTCTGGTTCAGGCACCCAACCCCTCCTTGCCCTGCACTCACCCCCAGACATCAGAAATACAGGCTCTTTAATGGAAGGGCTTCCATGATGGCAAAACAACTGCAACACCTAATACATGTGGTCTCCCTCAATTCTAGATCTGTTTTTTTTTTCAGACAAGAAATAAAGGAAAATCAGCTGTTAATATTATGAGCCTTACCTATAGCTGCTACTATGAAGGTTTTCAATATTTGCAATTAAAAGATAAGGCCTAGCTGGTGAATTCTGTGCTTCACATCAAAAGGAACTGAGATGTCCGTGAAAAAGCTGGAGAGGATAATTCTTGAGAACTGGACACCAGAAAAGTAAATGGTTCATATTTCAAGATGAGGACCTTCTTGGATGCAGGTGTTTAGTCCAGCAGGAATCTGAACCACTCCTCTAAGTCATGTAGCCACATTATATGGCTAAACACACATTGTTACATGTGTGTTTAGATACATCCCCCCCCCCCAGCAAAACCCAAAGGGCAACACACCTAATTACTGGATTGCTTACATTATTTCATTTTTATGACAAGTGCCAAATTAACAGACTTCTCCCCCAGCAGGAAGAAGGATTTACTTGGAAGGATTTAGTTTACATGTAGAGAATACAAGTATGTTATTCACTTAAACAAAAAGCAAAGAAAAAGACAGGGTGGGACTCAAAAAATACTGTTTTTCAAATGATTTGTTCTCTTAAGATAGTCTTTACAAAAACAACCTCACATTTAACCCTGTGCATGCTACCTTCCCCAAAAGTTAAAAACATGTCTGTAAAGCAATAGTGCTTTGAGAAGAAAGCAAGCTGTTACCACATTAGAAGTCATGTTGCTAAAACTCCAAGTATTTATAAATTTAAATGAGGCACCAGGGATAACCTGAAAATTCACCACTCTTCTATTTTCCTCACTAAAACAGAGGGAGGAATACCAGTCCACAAGATTCAAACATACATCAAACCCCTTTGTGAAGTACTGGCTTTTACATTATACCGAAATAACCTCACTGCTTCTCCATCTGCCTAGGATAACTGCCAGAAATTAAAACAAAGAAACATGTACACTCTTTGTAGTCAATCAGGAGCTTCAAAATTTGTTTCTAAGCTCAGATACAACAACATCTGTTTTGAACAAGTCCCATCTAAAGAAATGTTGATGCCCCTTTAGAAACCGAGTATTTTTGATAAATCTGCTCCTTCCAGAACTCCTACCAAAGACAGATTTAATAGGTAACAGATATTCCCAAATATCTTCTTGAATATATCCATCAATTCCAGCAATTTTTTTTTCTTGGATTTTAGAAACTATGCCTTTTTATTAGCGATCCTTAACTTCTGTGGCCAGTTAAAGAGAAGTAGATCACTTCATGTAGTTCTTTTGCAACCAAAAACCTGCAGAAAGCCAGAAGCTCTGTTCATGAAAAGATTTTTTCCCCCTACATTAGTTCCTTGAATTCAGATTCTGTGCTAACGTGGCATTGTTTAGGATGAACACACACTTCAGCTATTTTCAAGGAGTGGGAGTTAGAAAGGATTTTAATATGTTTTTGGAGAGAAGGATTTCAAATTTTATACTGCAATAAAGTATTTTTAATTAGTATTTTAATACTAGGTTACCTTTTCACAGTTTATTAGTTTTTAGTATCCATTTAGCTTAGAGAGTGAAAGAAAACTGGTTTATAGCATCGAGTTTATAGCTAGTTTCATTCACTGGCTTCCATACACTGCTATTATCCTTTCATGTCACTCATCACCTTAATATCTAAGTACCTTCTCAATCAAGATCACTGAAGAAATGTCAAGATCTTCTCTTTTTCCTTCATTGTTTTAAGTTACCTACCCATGTCTTGTTTCAGGAATACTTTTCATAGCCACAATTGAACCTGCAGGTAAATCAGTCTAAACAGAAATGCTGCACAAGTTGCTGAAGGATAAATGCATTGAGACTCCCCTGATAATGAGTAATAGCCCTTTTCTGTGAATTTTCTGTAGTACACTACTAGTACTCCTGAAATCAAAGCTGGGTTGCATTTACTGTGCACTTAGATTTCTGGCACCTTAGAGAAATTCTTATATTTACACAATAATACTTTTCTGATATGCTTTTAGCTTGTGAAAACATTCTGTGCATTAAAGGGCTTTTTAAAAATGACCATTCAATCTAGTACCACTTGACAGAGATCTTTTAATGTGATGTTAAAATACCTGTCATATAAATTCAGGCATTAAGACTGAAGTCCATAAAGCTATAATTATGAAAAAAAAAAAAATTATTTCCACCTTATTCAGAACAGCCCTTTCTCACAGTATTATTGTTCAGATCCCATAAAGCAGCATGCCCAACTAGTAATGCCTCTGTCTCACCACAGCTGGGAGTAAAGCTTTACTGACATTAGGGATTAATAGACTGCATATCCTTAAACATACATGCTGCATTACTTTCAATCTAGTGCATATTAGGACTGTGCTTTTTAATTCCACAAGAGCCCAATAAACCCTTCAATATTTACTTAAGGGGATTTTATGGTCCTCTTGTTTCATGAAGGCATTTATACGAGCTCTGATCTTACAACATCTGCATCATCAGCCATTAATTTGTGAAAATTAAATAAACAAAAACAACTCCATAACCTTCTTCTCCACATGCCTACTAAATGCCGCAGTATTTGTTGCTAGAGATGGAACAAAAATACAGCCAGCCCAACCGCTCCCTGTCCCGACACTACTCCAGACATTCCAATAGGAAAAAGCTGAGGAAAGATTACGAAGTTCTGGGAAAAGATCCATTTTAACTATTAATGCTTATTACCACATTTTCTAAGGTCTACAAAGCTTTTTAAAAATTATATGGGATGAAGGAAGCTACAGAAATGTTACGATCCCAGAAGATCTTCCTAAACAAAAGGAAAATGTATGTTGCTATGAACCTGCGTCAAGCTGTTCTTTGGATTTTTTTCCCAACACTGCATTAGCTTTCCTTCTATGTCCCTCTTGTGGTAACTGAGAAGAATTGTAACATCTGCAATGGAATACCTAATTCATAGCCTTAAAATCTGCTTGCTTTGTTGCTTCATTTTTGGTGCATTTTTTTAATTAAAAAAAAAAACAAACCTGTTATTGAAACAGTATTCTGTTATTGTCAGTATAGAGGGAATAGTTTCTCTTTTTTAAAAAAAAAAACAAAACAACAACAGGTATTCCTTTTTCTTCCATTTACTATTACTCAGGCTAGGTAAACTAGATAAAATTGTACGGAATTTTCATTTGAAGATTTGTTTTAGGGAAGAGGCAAGCAAAAGGAAAAACAGAGAGACAGAAAATTCAGAACTTTTAAAATAATATGAGCTACCTGAACATTAAACAAAAAAGAATAAATAGATGTGAAGTGACAGAGCAGGTAAGTGATTAAATATGCATAATAAATTTACTGATTGCACTTATTGTTCTACAATATGTTAATGTACTGCTAACCACCGTACTTATTCTATAGATACTTCACCATCAGACGTGTAATGTGTGAGCATTCCTTAAGCATTCTTTGTCAAGAACATCTGATCTCTGCTTCATACTCATTTCCCCCTAACCTGAATTGTTTTATCTGAGGATAAAAATACACTTTTTTTTTTTTTTTTTTTTTTAAATCCAACCCTGTCATTTGAAGTAGCAGTTTTGCAAAGATTTCTCACATTCAGTGTGATTGGCTCTGGACCCCTCACGTCATGATGACACTTTCTAGCACTATCTCCATGGCTTGGAGTTTGCAGAGACCAATCAGTTCATTCCTTCTCCTAGCAGCTTGTTTTCAGCCCTCTCTTGGGCAGTCCTGAGTGGAGGATGTTATCAAATCCCAGTGCTAGTGTGTCTTGGAATTTAAATGAATTTCAAGGAAAGTCCTCTGGCAAAGCTTCTTATTTTGAGTCAGGACTGTGTTATTTCTACCAACACCTAAACTGCTGTGTGCATCAGTTTTACACTTATAATCATCAGGAACCTTTATTATCACCTCTTCAAGATAATTACCTTAAACTTTTTAGCTCATGGAAGCAAGCAGAAAGCATCCTTTTTAAAATTAAATTCACCCACATTTGTTCTCTTGGATAGCTTCTTATGGCTAAGTATGTCCTGTGAATTCTAGCTTCTAACTATGCATAAAGATGGTAAAGCAGCTACATTTTCAGAGAATGTGTTCCAGCTTTCTGAAGTGTTACCTTTTTAAATTTCATATTGAATGCACAACAGTAAAGACCAGTGAGTCAGAGTGCCATCTCTCTGCATTAGCCCAGATTTAAAAAAATAAAACTTTCACAAAACATGGCTTACACAAAAAATATTGTCTAGGAGCTTTGTAGTGTAGCCTGCATATGAGCCTCCATGTTTTTCTTTAAAAGCACCAAAGCAGTCTCACAGACTTTCCAGTGTACAGTGAACTATGATTAAGCAAAATGTAATTAAATTCACATGCACCTTCTTCACAAGCCATGCCTCTGTATTGGTAAAAAGACTAATCAGTCTCCATTTTTTAAACACAGTAACTAGGAGCCCAATGGCCACAACTAATTGCCAGTTTGATCCCTCATCAAAATATAGCACAGTGAACTGCAGGCTTTTTTTTTACTCACTCTGGTTTTACTTTTGCCGTGTGTGACCGGGGAGCAGACCATCCCCTGGGGTGGGGGATCCCCTCGCAGCCCATACCATGGGGTGGGGGATCCCCTTGCAGCCCTCCAGCTTCAGCACCTCAGACAGCAGCACCACCTTGTCCTTGAACACGGCCAACAGTTCTTGGTGCCTCCACATCAGAAGACAGATTTGACTTTCTGATGGCATAGTCTGCTAAGGACCTGCAATTTTCAGCGAGTTTTCCAAACAACTTCTCTTTAAAAGCACTGTTATTTTCTGTATTCTGTTGGGGACTGCGAAAAACATCCAGCAGCGCATCAAAACTTTGGTCAGTTTCCAAAACTTTTGAGGATTCTGTAAACCAGCCAAATGTTGCAAGTACCTTCGGTTTATTAATACACAGGTGCTCACACCAAGCAGCCTGCCTGGTTTTATAAATTTCTTCTTCAATTCCGCTTTTATCGTCAAGTAGGATTTCATATTTTCTCACAGTTATGCTTTTCTCTGAACTATGAAACAGTCAGTTTCTGGTTTGTTTTAAGAAAGCACCAGTTTAGTTCATTCATGGATGCCTTCCAACCAAACTTTCGGTGGGCTTTAATTCAGTTGCATTTCACCTTTTGGAATCAAGAGTCTCAACATCTGAACTGTCTTGTAACACTGATGAACTTACGTAAGGGTAGACACTGACTTATCTTGATGTCACCATGTTAAACTGGAGCTGATGTGACAGTCATAATTTAACAATCAATCTTCCAATCTGCCTTGTGATTGTAGCGGTTTGTTGGATTAACCTACTTTAATCTGAACTCTGCATTAGGATACATTTATGATAAGCTATTGGTACAGTCTACTCCTCCTGGAGGCATAAAGCTAAAGATTAATTCAAACAGTCTGTATGCAGAAGTGATGACTCTGGTATTCTCTTTACTTGTTCTTTTTCCTCCTGCATTTGGTGTACAATATTCCTAGGACAAGGATGCTTTTCAATCTTCATCTAGATCTTTTCAGCCTAACAGTTGCAAATCTGGTACACGCTGTTTCGGTTCCAGGCTTTATCCTACACCAAAAGCAAAAATAAAAGTTACTTATAAAAGAAGATACATATTTGCATCTTATAGTCCATGGCTTTAGTAAGGAAGAGAGGCTGAATATCTAGCCTTTCATACCAATGTTTTCCACAACACACAGAAGTTACCTTAAAAGAGATTTGTTATGTCCTAATAAAAGGATGTTGAAATGAGGGCACCCAAATCCAAAACTTTATTTATGCGTAGAAGAAACATGCGCTATTCATCTTCTCTGCATAAGACAGTCATTCACCCTCCCTGATCTCAAGAGAATCTCCATGGCAAACCCCACTACCCTCATCTCACAGCAATTCAGCTTTCTATCACAGTTATATTAGGCATTACCGGCATAATAGGTATTACAGCTAGAGCTAGTATTACTATAATACCATATCCTCCTTAATCAACATGTCTGTCTCAAAACGCTTAATGCCCCTGCAGAACTCCCTTACCCAGGCTATGTCTCTGCGAGACCCTACACCCCTGTTTCGAGCAGGAACACGAGGCAGGCAGGCCACAGACCCAGCGGTTGCAGCTCCAGGCTCACAGCGGGCACAAGGAGATAAAAGGCCCCACGTTGCGCCCACAGGGGCAGCTGCCACCACACCTGCCCCTACCCGAACCCAGAGGGCTCCCACAGGCCTCCCACCACCCCCACAGCAGCCGCAGCCTCCCCAGGGCCCTCCCGCCACCACAGCCCCCGCATCACCCTCATCGCCTCAAGGGTCGGCAGCCACCACAGCTTCTCTCCTCCCTCCAACGGCCCCAGGGCCCTTCGTCACCTCAGCCCGCCATCGCCACCTTAGCCCGCCCTCCCTTCCCCATCTCGAGGACCTATTGGCTGGCGGAGCTGTCACTCAACAGCAAGCCCCGCCCCTCCATGCCGGTGAGGTGAGGAAGCGCCTCTGCCCGTGACCCGCCCCGCCCGCCAGGTGGCTCGCGGTACCCCCCTCCGCGCGCCTGCGGCGCGCACCCCTTCGCGCCTTTTCCGCGGGAGCTCCGCCCCCGCGCCTGCCCTCCCCAGGTGTGTGCGTGCTACGTCACCCCTCCCACGCGTACGGGGCGTGCTGGCGTCGGCGTCGTCCTCCGTGCGCTCCGCGTCACCGCTCCTGGCCTGGCGCGCGGCGGCGGCGGCAGCAGCAGCGGCCGGACGGTTCCGCTCGCAGCGGCTCGGGGCTCCCCCCCGTCTCCGGCGGCGCTCGCCCGCCGCCTCGCCCGCCTCCCTCCGCCGTTGGCTCCGGCCGCGCGGGCCCGCCCGAGCTGGGAGCGGCGGTGGGCTCGCTTGGCGGCCGGTTCGCGCGCGCGCGGCCTGGTGCGAGCGGCCGATCCTGCCGCTCGCGTAAACGCGGCGCCCGGGTTCCCTGAGGTGAGGCCCGGCCGGCTCGGGCGGGGGAGGGCGGGAGGGGAAGAGCCGCTTCTCCTCTCCGCCGCCGCCATGAGCGTGGAGGCGTACGGCCCCAGCTCGCAGACCCTCACCTTCCTGGACACCGAAGAGGCCGAGCTGCTCGGCGCCGACACTCAGGGCTCCGAGTTCGAGTTCACCGACTTCACCCTACCCAGCCAGACCCAAACCCCGCCCGGGCCTGGGCAGGCGGGCCCGGGACAGGGCCAAGGCCCCCCCGGAGCGGGGCAGGGACCGCCGGGACCCATCGAGGCACAGGTGAGTGCGCGGCCGGAGCTGGCGGGGGGCCGGGGCGCCTCCGCCACCGGGGGGGGGGGTGGGGGGGTCCGGAAGGGGCGGGCGGGCCGGGCCGTGGGGCCGGCGAGGGGAAGCCCTGGGCGGGCTGCGGGGTTGGGCGCTCTGCCCCCGGCAGCGGCGTACGGGGAAGTAGAAGCCGCATGTGGCTGCTGGCGTGCCCCGCGGGGAGGAGGAGGCCGCCCGCGGCGGACACACGGCGGCCCTGGGCCGGCAGCCCGGCGCTTCTGCCCTGTAAATGCAGGGAGAGACCGCGCTGAGGAAGAAAACTTCGAGCCGGTTGCCGGCTGGTAAAGCCGGCGGGCTCTGCGGCTGTGTCGTGACGGTTGTGTCGCTTTTCGGGGCGGTGCTGAGGTTAGAAATCAGAAGTGGTTCTGGATGTCGTTTCGGGTTCTTTTCCCCTTTAAAACAGATATGGCTGTAGGTAGTATTTGGTTATCAGAAGTTGAGTTCTGAGGAAATCCAGAGTTAATTCTTCTAATATCTTTCTTCCTATGACTAAAAGCAAAATGTGCTTTTAATTTTTTGCTTTTATCATTATTTTTTTCATTTTTTTGCCACCTTATCTGCTGCATGGTTGCTAGGTTGGTTTGTTTTGTGTTTGAAGTGACAGGTGATATGGCCTGAGATTTGAGAGGTCTGGTTCCTCATAACTTAAAAACAGATGATTTTTTTTTATAGTCTGTTGATAATTACTATGTACATGACAAATTGTATTTATTTCACAATTCGCAAAAGTGAAAGTAAAGAAGGAACTAGGGTTATATGCTCACAAGTGAAGGAGGTTTGCAAATGAAGATACTGCCTGTCACTGTGCTACATCTTGGCTGTGTCTGTAGTAAGAACAAAAACCCTGAAGAGCTCTTGCGTGTTTTTTAAAAAGTTAAACTTTTCTCCTTTTAAAGATCATGGAATATTCTGCTAAGTTTCATTGCATCTAGCTAAATACTCATGTAATTCCATTATTAATAATTAAATGGTTGTATGTATCCACATTTTAAAGGATTAAAGAGGAGTTGAAATGCTTTCACTAAGTTTTTAATCCTGAACCAAACACAGTTTGAGCGTGTTTGATTTTTCTTTTTACTTGCAAAACCTGATGTATCAGGGTCTGTAAACAGTAGAACTGTGGATACAGGAGCAAGCAAACTGAAAACAGGCCAGCATGTCCGGGCACTGAGACTCTACAGGTGTGCGGCACAGGACTGAAGGTGGTATTATCCTGTCCAAGCCATATCAGATTTATCCCAGGACGAATTGAATGACTTTCTTGTGCTTGAAAGTGCTCAGCGTAGAGCCTGGGCATAGCTGCTGAGCAGTGACTTGCTCTGGGTTAGTGTATTTATAAGACAGATTTAGAGATGTGACCCCATGGGCTGTTTGTTTTCTGTTTACTTACAGCTTTTGAAATTGGGCTTGGTAGATTTAATCCAGTTTGAGCATAGAGATGTCAGAATTATTAAGTAGTAGTAGTAAAACCTTGTCTGTGTACAGTCAGGCTATACATTAATTGTTTTAAAACATGGCTTTAATAAAACCTTAGTTTTTAAAGCTTTAATGGCTTGTGATCATTCCAGAATTCAGAGTAGAGAATATATGGCCAGAAGAATGAAAACCCACCCCAAAATAAGCCTCATAAGTTAAAAGACCAGACAAGAGGAATCATTTGTCTTTTTTTTATGTATAAACATGTTTGAAAAGCCTTTGAAGGAAAAAAAAAAAAAAAACACAAAAAAAAAAAAAAAAAAAAAACTGGAGAGCATGTTCAGGTACTAGTATGTCTATAACCATCCATCCTGGAGAGAAGGGAAGGGATTTTGGTTTTTTTCTAAGCAGAGTGCATATACAATGTTTCTGCAGATTCTTGCGGTCATCTTGATCCTCATTTTGACCCCAGAAATGTAGATTTTTGCGAGGGCAGGGAGAGGGAATGGACCTATTGCAACAAGAACTTAGAAATATAGTAAGTATAGTGTTCTCTGAGCACAGCAAAACCCAGATCTGTGGATCTGTTTAGACTTGTATGTTTCAACGGTCTTATGAGTGATAAGATCAGAAATTATGTGTTTTTTAAAGATTCTGGGGAAAATTTTGCTGTCCTTAACAAATAATTTAAACTTGTTATGCCTTTTGGCAGGGGGCATACTAAATAACTTCTAAGGCCCCAAAATTGATCACACATTTTGCTTAATTAAACGTTGTCACTGTGGCTATAATTAAAGCTACTTGAATAAATAATCTTCATTTGAAGCTGATAAATATTGGCGGTATATACTTTTTACTATGCTGTTTCATATTTTAGTATCTTTTTTAATGTCCTAGTGTTTTAAAAGATTAGTTGAGCAATACAGAGCACCTAATTTATTAAGAAAATGCGATTGATTTAGGCAGTCTATAAGAGCTTCCTTTCCCAATGTATATTTAACTAATAGTTTAAGAGGATGTTGTTACAATCGATTAGTGTCCAATTGACAAAAAGTGGTGAGAGGTTGGTAGTGCAGAAGCAATGTCTGCTGTTTTAGAAAACTATTTCCACTGTTTACATAGAATTAAAACTAAATTTAGGAATATATTTTTCTAAATAGTTTATGATAAATTCTGATTTCTGCCTTATTTTTTCACTTTTCCAAGCAAAGACTTAGGATGCTAGGAAACAGTCCCATGCTCAGCAGGTCTGTGATGGATCATGCCCATGGTGTTAATGTGTTAGAGTGGTTGAAGGAGGCTGGGTCAGCTGTTTGATTTTTGGTCTAGACTATAGGCTGGATTTAATTTCCAGTTCTAACAAAGACTTTTTGTCTTAGCAAAATGACTTACTCGTTGTTGCTCAGGTCCCCATCTGGAAATACAGCTTCTGCTGCACACTGCTTTGGGGGTGTTGTGGGGATGAATAGTCTCAGTAATATCCCCTTCCTTCTTTTGAAAGGGAAAGCAAATCCGTGTAAGGGATTATAATAAGGTACAGTAAATACTCTGTAGCTTTAATGTAAAGAACATACAAACATCAAATAATTGGGTTACCCATGCAAGTCCAAAAGCGTGTATTTTTTTTCTGAAGCATGAGGGAAAGTTACCTGAATGGGGAGAGTGTGACTGGGTGTCCCGCAGCTACTGTGCAGTGTCGAAGTGCATTGCAACGATTGATGGGACTGCAGTCTTGTAACAAGAGTACTCTTCTAGCAAAATACCTACTTAAGTGTAATTATTTTTCTTGTTATGGCTTGAAATGTACCACTTGAAAGCACAACTACATAAAGTGGATGTAGCTGCATTCACCTGTGGATCAGCTGCTGGTGTGGGTGGGGTATGTTAGCCAGAAGTACTGGGAGAAATTGAGATGGTAATATTCTATTACCAGAGGTTTGGGGACTCATACGTGGCCGGTAAAAGCCACTACATAGTCTGATTTACTATTTGGTAACTCGGTTCCCTGGACCTTTACTGTTGTGTCTTGACCAGTATTTTAGTGATGAAAAAAGGAGCAAGAGGGACAGATACCTTGGTGATATTTCAGAGGACCTCAGTGTTCTAAGTGCTGTAGCTGTTAAACTTGCTATGCCAGAAGCTTCAGTCAACACTTCTAAAATAGAGAAGCCCCCCCTCCCTTATACAACAGTTGATGGTGCCAGATTTTTAATAATATGCACATAGGCTAACATCACAGTAGGTTTTAGAACAATAGTTGAGTCACTTCCTCATTGTGTGCCTGCCAAGGCTGAGTACTCTCTGCTGGATTTTCATAGTAACAGGTGACATCATTCCTGCCAAACTCTGAGAGGAGAGGAGCTCCCCGGGGTGTAACTAAGTCACCTGGTGCAGAAGTACAAATAGCTTGCAGTTGTTGTAGTTTCTTGGGTTTCTGCCTTAAAAAAAAAACAAAAAAACAAACAAAACAAAAAAAAAAAAACAAAACCAAACAAACAAAAAAGCAAAAAAAAAAAAAAACCAAAAAAAAAAAGTTTTACCATTTTATTACCAATCAGCAATTCAGTTTTTTATGAGCACCCCAAAAAAAAAATTTTATTAGGCTTGTCAAGTGGTGTGTATAATAGTGTATTATGGCTCTTTGGAATAGATTGATGGAAATGCACCTGTGAATGCCTGGTATTTGTG